ACCAGCAAAGGACCAGCATAAACCAGCAAAAGGACCAGTTTAAACCAGCAAAAGGACCAGCTTAAACCAGCATCCCAGCGTCAAAACATACCTAACCTGCATATGCTGGTTTTTTCAACAGGGATGGTGCGTTTCATTCATACCATTCTAGTGGTCATCTCTGATTAATTTCTATAAATTCACAAAATTTGTCCCTAACCTTTCCTGTAATCCCACCTCAATAAAAAAAAAAGTGTTTTGCAATACAACATGAAGACAATAAGTACTTTTTTTTTAACGTTTGTCTGTCAAAAGTGAAAACATTTGCACCATAAATGCAAAACAATTTGAATCTGTTTCAAACGTTTATCACTGCATACTATTTGAAAACTGTAGTAGGCAGTATACAGTATAGGCTACACATTACGCAGTACATTAGTATTCAATTCTAAACAGCCTGATACTGTCTTTGCCTCTTTTTTGGCAAAAACAATCAACTTTATGTCACATTAATCAGTGATTCAAACGGTTAACTGGTCTTCCTAATTATAGTTAGAGTTTCATAATTATGTTACAAGGTCACTACAACTACTGCATTTCATTCCAGCTAACAGGAGACCGCTAGGCACAATGGCCGTGACACAAATCCTGGTGAGCTCCCTACGCATTTTCGAGCAACAGGCATTCTTAAAGTCAAATAAAAAAAAAAACAACAACAATTAAATGTTAACGTCTTTGCGTTTTGTTCCATGTCATTGTGCTCATTCTATGAACGCGTCTATGATGCTCATCCATGCTGTCTAGGTAGGCAGCTTCTTTTGGTTTTGACATACAACCCCATCTAGTCAACACACTAAGCAACAAACCATTTTTTTCACAGAATACAACCTTGACTATCGAGTCCGGGCGTTCTGTAGCAAATACTGTGTTTCTTACTCACCCTGAAGACGAAATAATCCTTGACTTTGGCTCGCATGGTTGGGTTGTGGACATGGAAAGGCGTGAGGGTCTGTAGCGGGGTGCAGCAGGCCACCGAAGCTCCAGCTCGGGCCACCACCTCCAGCCCATCATCACAGTCCGCCGGGTGTAAAACAGCCGCACCCGGGCTCTCGGGGTCTACGCTGTCATTCAGCTGCAGCATTTCGCTAAAGCGTCGAGGACAAGCCGCAAATTTCCGTAAAAAGTGACTGCGCTCGGTTCCAGCAGCGCTGTGTTGCGCAGGGGAACACCCACCTGCTCCACTCTACGCACGATTTAAAGGGACCCATTCTGTTTATGAGTTACCAGCTGCATTCGGATTTTTAAAGGAACAGTTCAGCCAAAAATGCTGTATGGTACAGGTGGAAACAATAAAATGTCTCGTTGAAATAGCAGCAATGTAATCTGGATTACGTGATAAGATTCCAAAAATCAAGTAGCGGCAGACTGATTACATTTGGGACATGTGTACAGTTGAAACACCTTTAATAACTTGCGTGCACAGGAACCCCAAGGCGTGATTTTTGCTTCACACATGCATATTAGCATTCTCTTTGATCGTGGGAAATTTGAAAAGTGTGCGTCTTTCCACTCCGAAGATATCGGCAAAAGATTTTTTTCCAATGTAAGATTTTCATTTCACCATGTCCCTTCCACAATGAATAGCTTATTATCCTTTTATGACTGTTAAACTTCACGTATATCATTGCAAACGTTACTTTGTGCTCTAAAAATAGACATATTTTATGATATTGTGCCATGCAAGGTCTTTGCATAATCTAGAGAAACATGCGAGTATGTCACGCAGTTCTCTCTGTGTGTGTGTCATGTTAAACAGACTAATCACCTTATAGGCTACTTCATTTACTCTATTTTCTAACTCAGTATCTCTCAAATGTAACCTGTCGTAGAATCGCTGCTGTCTCTTTATAAATGAATGGATATTCATGCCAGACAATGCAAAGTAATAAATAGCAGTGGACGCTCGGACCTGGGATTTTACTAGTGCTATAAACTATATGCTGTGTATAGTGAGAGAGGCGGGCAAAGGTAACCTGATGTAACTGTTCGCTTTTTTTTCTTTTAGCTTCTCCCAAACACCTTTATCTTCACGTCTTTTGCTTGCCATCACGAGCCCACTCTCCTTCCTGTCAGTTTCGGTTTCTTATAAGCAAAAATAGATTGCATTAGCGCCCCCTTTTGTCGGCCGTCAACGTCACTTAATCTGACACTTTTTCTTTGAGGATGAACCAGCAGGCCTGGACTTCTCCAGAACCTCCAGATGGCCAGTGCGCCCCTCATTATATATATATATATAGGGGTGTTGGACTGTATTTGTTGGGAAAGTCTAGTTGTAACAGCCTTCAGAGAGAAACACAGATTCTCACTTGTCACAAATAAATGGTATATTCTATATTCTCAAGCATATAGGGTAGTGTAGTTAATGACATACATGACATTGTGTTTTTTTGTTTGTTTGTTTGTTTTTTTACTTTTTTTTTTTTTAGCCACACACAGAATTAGCCTTAATGTGTAGTGAGCTAAAATTTACTCGAGTGAACTATTCACTTTCTATGTAAATATTCTGTCCAAAAGGTAATGTCAGAAAAGAACAGCTTGTTGTTTGAGAGCTCATACAGCTTTGCGCCTCCCTCTTTTATGGTTGTTTCAAAGTCTTTAGACAGCTCAAGTCAAGTCCATTTACTCATGAGAGGAATATAAACCACATTCCGAGAGAAAAACTCAGTAAGTATCATAATACAATTATTTACTTCTGTTTACACAGCTAATTCAAAGTTGTTTTGGTCATACATTTTTAATTCAAAGTTCTTGGAATGTACAAAAATTAAATCAAAACAATGTAGGAGTAATATTTATAAAGGCTTATATCTAAAACATATGAGATCATTATTGTCTGCTCTTTAAAAACAGAATTCTTGAAACAGAAAGTGCTTGTGTGTATTTTAATAGTATCGCGATAAAAGTGGAAAGACTTCATAAGGCTTATAAGGATTATTATTATTATTATAAGGATTTAGCGATTCATTTTATTATTATTATTTTGTACTTTATTAAAGTGATGAAGAGAGAGGAATCAGAGAATATCCTGAAGATTCTGTTTTCAGTAAAAAGTACTTGCCTCACCCCCAAGCAACCAGCAGAAAAACAGCCTGATGACTTTATTACCCCAGCTGTAAAATCACTATCAGTAAGAGCAGGAAACCCAACAGTCAAGATTACAGTAAAGCCTGTAAAACTTTGAACTCTGATTCACTTTTTTTAAATTAAATATTACTGTAGTTATTTTTATATTGTAGTTATTTTTTATTAATTTAGTATTCATTTACATTTATTTTGCAGATGCTTTTTCCCAGATGCATATCATACACATTGTATGATAAAAGCATTAATATTTGCAGCACACAATGTCAAATTTAAGTACGACCTAGTATACAAGAGCAGAAGTGAAATGCAAAAGACAATATTATATGAAGCATTTGTTGCAGAAGTGGTGTGTTTTCAGCCTTTTCCTGAAAGTTGTGATGATCTCAGCAGATTGGGTGGAGGTTGGCAGCTTATCCAAGAAAAGAAAGGGTGCAGTATCTGGAATGCGACTTTGTCCTTCTTTGTGAAAAACCCCTAGGCATTACTCACTCACCATAAATGGTGCGATGGAACGTACATACATACATACAATTGGTCATCAAGCTTCCTTACTTGTTGCCATTAGTGTTGTAGAACCCAAGTGAACGGTAATGTTGTGGTCAACTGACAGGTTGGAAGCAGTCCACTAGATCTGGTCTGTCAGATAAACAGAACGAAACTGCCGAGTGAATGAATTTGATCTGTAAGTGTGGAGATAAGTGATATATACAGTCGTGGACTAATGGTTAGAGAGTCGGACTTGTAACCCAAAGGTTGTGGATTCGAGTCTTGGTACTGGCAGGAATTGTTGTGGGGGGAGTGAATGACCAGTGCTTTCTTCCCTCAATATGAAGACTGAGATGAGACTCTTGAGCAAGGCACCGAACCCCCAACTGCTCCCCGGGTGCCGCAGCAAAAATGACTGCCACTGCTCCGAGTGTGTGTGTATGCACTTGGATGGGTTAAATGCAGAGCACAAATTTAGAGTATAGCACACCATACTTGGCTACACGTCACTTTTTTTCACTTTTTATACAGACTGTTGTGACAAAGGAATGTTTAACAGATTACTGATGTCATGACTTCCAGAAAGAGAGAGAATGACACAAGAATGGACAAGAGGTGCGTAACATTCAAAGGATTGTGTAATGTTTTTAATATGCAGCATCTGAATAGCAGTGCTCTTTTTGACTGATCCAGGATAAGAGATGAGACTGTATGTCAGGGTTCCTCAAATCTTGTCCTGGAGGGCCAATGCCCTGCAGAGTTTAGCTCCAACCTTGATCAAACACACCCGAGCAAGCTAATCAAAGTCTTCAGGATCATTAGAAAATCACAGGTACGTGAGATCAAGGTTTCTGTTATCAAAAAAAAAAATATATATATATACTAGTGGACTATTTCAATAGTCCATGGGACTAAATTGGCCCACTTACTAGTGTATAAAAGTATACTTTTAAGTATAACAGTAGTAAACTTTGAGTACACAAATAGTTTACATCTATGTTTGTACTGCAACTATACTAAAGGTGAACATAGTTAAACTGATAGTTTACTAATTAAATACTTGTAGCACTTTGAAGTATAGTCTCAGTAGTTTTGATCAGCGGGTTATATGAATATCTGAACATACAAAACATCAAAAGAAAGAACAGGGTATCTGCTTGTAAACAAAAAACTTTTATTCAAGCTTCATGCATACATTTTTTATAAACACTTGAATGTGGGTAAGTTTTATAAATAATAAAAAAAAAAAAAAAACATTTTGAACAAAAAGCTGGGAAAAAAGACTATGAATAGGATTCAAAAAAATTATCAAAACATAGATGGAGTTGCAAAGCTTGACAGTCATTACCTCTTCATGGGTCAACATTTTATTCCATAACGTTACACAGCTTTGATGCTGTTTTATGTCTGATCGTGTAAGATTACGTGTGGAAGCATCTGTTGTTTTGGTTTCTTCTTCGCTTGTGTTTTGGAAATTCTGTATAGAAAATGCGTAATAGCGCCCCCTACCGTACAACAATGAATGACTTTCCTATTTTTAGTTTAAAGGTGGGGTAAGCGATTTCTGGTAGCCAATGTTGACATTTGAAATCACCAAAACAAACACGCCCCTACCCCAAAAGGGTCTCGCCCCTATTTTTATAGCTCCGCCCCACATATACGAACGCAACCCAGGCACGATTAGTTCTGTGAAACAAAGCAAAACCAATGTTACGCCGTGTCTACACTGGAGTGGCGCGGCGCGACAAAATACTATAGAGCTCATTATAATCAGTGATGCAGTCTACACCATAGATATATATACAGTATACCTATGGTCTACACTGGATGCGGCATGGCACGGCACGACAAATCCCCGACAGAAAACTGCTGCTGCTTTCTATTCAAGACGTCTTGACACAAATTTAAAATGATTTTCAACGGTCACTTTGTCGCGTCCAGTGTACTAGACAGACTTTAGCTGTTGCGGCGCAGATACGGTGTTACTCACCTATCGAGAAGAAACAAAGCAACCTCGGCGTCCGATCGCAGGCCTTCCGCTCCTTGAGTTCTCTCCAGCGCTGGAAAGCTGATCCGATATTTACACGGGTCCTACTTCTTGCCTTATTGCCTTAAGCCTTCTTAACTGGCTACAAGTTTGTTTTGTTATTCGGCCCGAATCAGTTTTCTAAAGCGTTTTTGAAAAATCGCTTACCCCACCTTTAAAAGAAGTATAGCCTTCTAATAGCACACTTGAATAAACTTCTTTTTTGTAAGGGTTGAGCTAAACTCTGCAGGGCAGCAGTCCTCCAAGACAAGATTTGAGGAACCCTGACATACAGTCTCATCTCTTATCCTGGATGACTAGCTGCGTGTCAATGAAAGTGGTGATTCTCTGCAGCAGTCTATGAATTCCTACAAGGATTTCCAGTGGAGTGACAATGAAGAAATAAGTGTTTACCTCAGAGCTTTGAAAGTTTGTGCATAATGAAATACTGTTTAACTGCTTCTGTGTTTTAGTCTTCCCAGCTGTGTTTCCATGAAGAGTGACCAGTCAATAGATGATGTAATCAACTTCAGTTCAGGAGACTTTTCTGCTGATCTGAGGTGAGGACAGTATCATGGTGGATTGGTTCTTAAAGTTTTTTTTAAAATTTATATATAAACGTGTAATTTTGGTTTGATAGGGTCTTTTAAAAGCAA